TGGGATGTTTGCATTCTCTCAACCATTGAAGCAGAAGCCATGACCTTAAGAAAAGATGCGCATGACATTATTTCCTTACAATTGAATAATGTAATCTTTGAAAGCGACTCCTAACTAGTAGTTCAAGCTATTCATTCTAAACAATTAGGTAGGCCAGAATTTAGTCTTATTATCTTATCCATTAAAAAATTATTGCATCTTTTCCCGAACCTTGAGGTTAAGTTCATTAAGCGTCAAACGAATTCGGTTGCCCATACGTTAGCTAAGGCGGCCAATTTTAAACTAGACGTAATTTTATCAATGTGATACCTACATGTACTGAACCTTTTTTAAGTAATGAAAGCTATTAAATAAGCATGTTTCTATAAAAAAAAAAAATTTTAATACTATTTATTAGAATTAAATTGATGACAAACAATCGAATTTTTACATGTTCAACAAAATATAACATATAATTTAGTGTGGAAATCAAATAATCATAAGTGCGCGTGTATATATATATATATATATATATATATATTTATATATTTATAAAATGATAGTCAATTAAAAATAGGAGTCATATTATTTTAAAATGAGTCACAACCTTCACTCATATTTTAGTATGTACTAATTAATTAATTAATTTTTAATGACTTAATTGTTTGAGGTATTTAATTTGATAAGTTTTCACTACAACCAATTGAACCCACTAGTCCTAACCAATATCTAAACAGTGGACCGTTCTTTCAATTTACACCACAATTTTGTGAAATGTGATTTTCCTAAGTAAAAGTAAATGTGAATTAGTTATAGTATTTTGTTTAGCTCAAGATCTCCCAACAGTGAGAGAAAGTACTCCTAGAAGAATAGACCGAGGCAGAGGATCCTTCCACCAATCAAAAAAGGGAAAAAGTCGAATAAAAAACAAAAACGAAACCAAATAACAACAAGACAGAGAAAGCAGAGAATCACAAAAACAAGCCCATTCTCGTAAATATCTCATTTCCATAAGGGTATTTTAATAGCATAGCATCATTAAACATTAACTGACCCTTTTCGAAAAAACCTCATCTTTCCCGGAGTTTGTTGGGGCCCACTTACTTTCTCTGCTGGTTTAACAGCCAATTAAGTATTAAACACGTACTTAGTATGGAAATTTTTCTTTATTGCTAATAAAGTTACTCTATTTAATTAATCTTAATCTATAGTCCTAACAAACTAGCTTCGAAAAGATTGTTGTATCTTTTGTCAAGTTTGTTGCGCCCGCTGCTGTTGGGTAATATACACATATCTTTACATTTTACACTTTTAAATATTTTTCCAAAATTTTAAATATTAATTAAAAATATTAAGTAATTTAGTAAATATGTTATTCTTTCTATTTATTTATTCATTTTTTCATCATGTGTGAAATAGTTAATTTGTTTATTTATTGTGAATCATATTTAATAATATAGTATAGTGTTTTCTTAAATTTATTTTATTATAATAAATAATCAATATATTTATTTTAACTTATTTTTATTATTGGAATAAATGGATGCAAACTATTTGGTCAAAGTTCAATTTTTCATAATATCATCTTTTATAATAATAAATTTATTTAAAATTGTCATTAATTATAATTGTTAAATTATTGAAAAAATATGCTTAGTACTTTCATTAAAAACAATAATATTTAATGTCATGTTATATTTTAATATTATTTTATTTAAAAATAAATTTAAATTTTAAATATGTTTACACGAAACTTCAAATATTCAATAAAAACACATATTTATATTCAGTAATTTTTCAAAAATAAATATAAATATTTTTAAAACTAGATAAATTTTTGTATGTAACCCATATTCTTTATCATTAACTAGAGAGTAAGATTCTAATATATATCAAATCAGATGCATAATTGGAACATTAAAATTTATTTCTTTTGATTTTATTGGGATTGTGTGTGATTTATTGATAATAATAATATTATTTTTATTTCAATAATTTATCCGTGTGAGCATTGATATTTATATTTATATCCGTATCTTATAAATAATTAATAGATTTATCCATATTTTAATAAAAAAATAATTCATTAATTAGAATTTATTACGTAATTTTTTAATAATATTAAAAAATTCAAAGAGGCTCTTATTAAAATAAGAAATAAATAAACATTTAATAATTTATATTAAAATGTATATAAGTTTAATAATAATATATTCAATAAAATTAATAAATTAATATATATAATTATAATAATAATAATAAATATATATTATACGAATATAAGACAAATATTCGTATCAATTACTATATTTGTCTACTTTTATGAATAATTATTAATGATTATACTTGTACTCATTTTACGAATTTTATCTTATATGTTGGAATTAAGTTATGCATATAACTATTAGAGGTGAGTTTACCATCTCTAAATCTAAATGGATCTAAATTTAACTTATAATATAATACAATAAAATTTGTTGAAAAAGAAGGATTACATAGTATAAATATAGGCTGAAATAGAAAATTTTGATTTGATATTATCTGAACCAAAAATCAATGAAAGTTGAGAGAATCTAGAAACAAGTATTTGTTTTGGATCTCAAGAACAGAAAGACTTAAATAAATACTATTAACATAACATTAATTTATTTATAAAGAACAGAAGAAAAAAAAGAAAAGAGAAGAGAGAGAGAAAGAAGTGAAGAAAAAGCAGAGAATATAAAGAGACCGGATATTGACAAATTTCATGTCACTGTTCTTAGAAGGTCGTTTGTTTTGTGAGGAGATTTCTTATCTGGGATCTCTCTCTAAAACTATAATTCTTTTCCTCTTTCTCTCTCTAAAAACAAATAAAACCTCACTTTTTTTTTTCTTTCTTCACTTTCTATATCTCTAAAACAGACAACAAATAGATCGAAATCCACGATCTAACCTTCTTCAATGTTGTTTCTTAATTCTTGCTTTTAACTGAACTTTTTTTTTTCGCTTAATTTTTTTTTTGGAGTTAATACACTGAATTTTTCTTCTGTTTTCAATGGTAGAATCCATGGAGGATTCTTAATAGCAAGCCATACGAGGATGTGGGTTTGAGGTAATTTTTTTAATTATACTTTCTGAATTGTTTTTATTTTTATTTTTTATTTTTACTTAATCATTTGATATAATTTGGTTTAATTTTGAGTGTGATGAAAATTGAATTCTCGGTGTTCATTGGTTTGAGGATTATTCAACGGAATTTGTAGACTTGAATTTTTTTTGTGTTTGATTAGCTGAAATGTTCAGATGTTGAATTTTATGTTTTGAATTGTTCTTTCTGTGTGATAAATAAACTGTTGGTTTGGCTATTGTTGAATAGGATCTGCTTTATTCAAATTTGTCATTCGTTTAGGTTTTGCAAAAGATCGAGAAATTGGTATGAAATTGTAACTGAATTCAGGGAAGACTTGCATGGTTTGGTGTGAATAGATTAAGATTTTGTGTTACTTTATTCTGTCCCTCATTGTTTTTACTCAAACTTGGAGCTAAGGACCATAGTTGCTTGTTGTCAAGGATGAATTTGTGATGCCTAATTTGACGCCGCTCCACTTGTTAGTAGAATTTTCATTACATTGACGAGGCTGTGTGTAACTATTCAAGTTAGAGATCACTCCATCTTATCACTTTTGAATGCATTTGAAACCTGTTGTCACTTTGTAATGTGGTTTCAACCTGTGGCGTGATAAGCTGGATTCAGATGTAAACAAAATAACATTGGAATATGGTGATTGTCAAGCTTTGGTTTTCCAATATTGGGTGTTCGGAAATATTTTCACCTAATTGGTGTATCATGAGATCATTGCATTAGTGTAAGCTTTTCATATCTTTAGTAGTTTTTTCCGGGTAACTGGTCCTTATCCAAGTTGTATTGGAGTGAATGAACTGTTGGGTTTTCATTTTTTAGTAAACCTTTCTGTCTTCTTGCAAACTTAAATCATGTCAGATTACACTTGTAGGTGAACACTAATAAATGCTTGTGTTTTATGACTTGAAAGCCTATTTTCACAATTGCTTGTTACATAGCTGATCCTTCTGCAACCCTAAAGTTTGGCTAATTTAGGGTTTTGCTCTCTTCTTATTGGTAGTCTGAAGTAGTAGTATGTACGAGTTGTGTTTCGGTACTGCTAAACATTGCAACATCTGTTATGTAATATTTCTCCTATACTTCTAAACATGAGTTGTTAGTTTTCATCAGTGGTAAACGTTGTTATGGATTTTAAGTCTAACATCTATGATATCTATTAGGAGCTACATTTGTGCACTGATTTCTTTAAACAGTCAATATGTGTTTTTTTTACATGACTTAATAAGGAGTCTCTTAGTTTAAGGATTTCAAGAGCTCGGTGTTGCAGCGTGCTTTTTCACATTTGCACATTGATTTCTTCAAGTAAAGTGGCATCATACTTGTGAATTGTGTGTCCTGGCACTGGGTATATTCAACTGAAATGGACTACTAAAATGTTAACCTGCTCATGGAAAAATTAGTTTACTAGTTTACTTAAAGATACTTCAACTGTATTTGACTTATGAATATTGTATATTAAGATTTACTTTCATTCATTATACTTTTAGATCAATCTATTAGAAAAAATGTGGAAATCTGATTAATTTGCCCTTTTTTTTCTTTCCTTTTTCTACTAAGTTCTCTTAATAATTCATGTATTATGGGGAAAAACTAAATATTTGAATAGGAAACTATCTTTGCAATTGCTCGCACTGTACATGTGTTGTCGTTTCATCATTTGGGTAACTATTTGGATATGGCTTTACATCATTAAATCTTGTTACGAGTCATTTAATTGTATGAATACTTTTCAAGGATTGAGTTATTTGACGACATGCTGTTTTTGGAATTGAATTAGTATGAAATAAATTAAGATGCTGCATGGATTGTGATATTATTGGAGCGAAAGAGAAGCTATATATCACAACTTAATTTATGACAAAAATTTCCTATTAAAATATATATGTGATCAATTATCAGGATGGGAACCAAAGTTCAGAGTCTTCCGGGAAACTACTCAATGAGAGATCTTAATGAGGAATCCAGCAGTTGTGGCTGGCCCCTATTCTATGGAGACAAAGCACTGGCAAATGGGCAATATTATCAGAACCATCTTCCAAGTGCCGCTGCAGATGTATGTTCCGCATATGATAAGGATGTTGTGAAACAGATGATGCTTGAGCACGAGGCCATATTTAAGAATCAGGTATGAAGTTCTAGTTTCTTTTCATTCTCGGCTTATGCACATTAAAGGTTTTCGGTGCTTAAAGATTAAGTATATTTAGTCTATGATTTTGCATCATGTTTTGTTTTTTTTTCTCCTTCATTAGAGCCGTTTAACTCAAAATATGGAAATAGTGGTTTTTAAGTACTTTAACAGTGAGATACCGACACTAGTTTTAGAAGGGGTGATATAGTTTCGATTAATTTTTTTATTTACCTATGATTTGTGAAACTACTGATATATTTAAATCATGTGTTATCATTAGGTGTTTGAACTTCATCGTTTATACAGAATACAAAGAGATTTGATGGATGAAGTAAAAATGAAAGAATTACACAGAAACCATAGATCTATTGGTCAATCGTTTTCCCCAGGTCCTAGCTTTCCGATAGCAGGAAGTTCTGCTCGTGATAGACCATCTATTTCAGGCATTGAGGGAATTCATTCTCCTTTTGGTTCTAACAAAGGAATCAATAAGCAAACTTGTCTCTTTCCGTCACCAAATGGGAGTAGTTCAAAAGACGTTGAGATACTGGGGTCTAGACCCTCAAAGGTGAGGAGAAAAATGTTTGACCTTCACCTCCCTCCTGATGAGTACATTGATACTGACGAAGGCGAGAAGTTTAGTGATGAAAATGCAAGTGGCACAACAATTCCCGATAGAAATTGTAAAAATGGGAAAGGAGGGGATGCGAGAGTTTTTTGTGGCAATGGTGGGAAAACTGGTAGCCAGGAAGACACTTCAAGATCTGAGCAGTCTTTAAGGAGCAGAAATGGTTTGGCTGACTTAAATGAACCGATTCAAGTGGAAGAAACAAATGCTGCTGCGTGTATTCCTCCTCTAAACCATAGTCCCTATCTAGGGGCAACTGAATGCTCTGATCCATTTGCCAAACAGAAGTCAAGGTTTTTTGGTTTTTCTACAGAAGATTTACGCAACTCGCATTATGCTCCTTCAAGTAATGGATATTTGAAGAATGATGGGAGTGGAAAAGTGTGGATTTCATCCAAAGAGACAGGTTAGATTTTTTTATTATCTAGCTGCTCTAAAATTATTGAAAGAGACTCGAAGCACAATGATTGTTAGATTTTTTGGTGTGAGAGCCGGCAGATTGGTTTACTCGTAATTGTGATTTGTCTCCTTTCAAGTAGATAAACTATGTTTTTTAATTATTAGCAAGTTAGATTTTTGCTTTAACTTGAATTTTGCAAATATTTTAGAATCTTTTGTTATTTTTATATTTTCCTTTAGACCAAAATTTCCTTTTTGGTTATGCAAGTGTTAATAATAAACAATCACTGTGATTGATATGGTATCTGATAATTGCACCATAACAATTTAGTTTCTAATGAATATTACAGGGCAAGCTAAAAGCAGTTCGAATCCCATTCCTCAAGTCCTCAAACAAGAGCAATCATTTTTTTCATCCCAAGCAACACAAGATGCACTTGGTAAAGGCCCCGAACCTACATCTGATCATCTAAATAATAGAAGCAAGACTGGTTTATGGAGGGAAAAGACAGTTGGTGGTTTGGACATCAGCGAAAGGAATAAGCATCCAGAGAATGTTGTATCACCGCACAGTCCCGGTCTCTTTGCATTTGCTCCTTCCTCAGATTTTGCCAAGTCTTGGTCTCCGTCATCTTGGCAAATGGCAAGTAGTAGTCTAAACCAGAAGTTGTTGTCTGTTCAGATGCCTCCTTCTTCATTTCTAAATTCGTCTGGTGCCTTGAATAGGAGTTCTCAGTCACATCAAAGCAATGGGATTTTGGGAGATAGTTGGCCTCTGAATATCAGTACCAAGCAGAGTGCTGGTTTTCACCGTGAGGCATCTGTGCAGAATGGATTTAACCCCAGGGTTGCTGAACATTTCAACAATGGTTCAGCAAACTATAATAAAAGTTCAAATTTAATTTGCAATGAAATGACATCTGGAAAAGATATTAACTTGAATGTGCGACTTTCAAATGGTTTATCCAATGACTTAGTTACCCAATCGGGTCTTGGAATCGTAGATCGAGAGCAGAAGAATGGGGAGCAGCTTGCAGTGTTGCCTTGGCTTAGATCCAAGATTACATGTAAGAATGAGACTCAAAATGCTGGTAGTGATAGGCGCTTAACTGCTGGAGGATTGAGTTTTCTCCAAGTTGCTTCTTCATCTAACAAGGATGAAACTCAAAAGGGGTCTAGTGAAAAATTTATAAACGGTGTGACTTCAGGTTTGTGTTCAAATATTGAGCCGAGTAGGATAGAAGCCAGTGATAGCTGTAGTAAAAAGAAAATACTTGGGGTTCCCATATTTGGCGTACCTCTCATTTCTACTAAGGAGTCACCTTCACTCACTTCTCCATCAAGCATAGAACTGGTGGAAAATAATCGAAAAAACCGAGGACTTGATATTAACTTGCCTTGTGATGCTGATGTTCTTGAGGTTGACATGGACAAACAAGCCGTCACTGAAACTATTGTTTGTAAGGAAAGACTTTCTAAAGTGGAAGCCAACTCTAGAAATCAATTTGACCTGAACATGATTATGAATGAGGATGAGGCATTTGTGACTACTATTCCAGCCGCTGATGTAAGAATGAAGGGGGTAATAGATCTTGAAGCCCCTGCTGTTCCTGAGACAGAGGATGATGCCATTCCTGAAGAAAAACAACTTGAAATTCCTTTAGTATCACCACCAGGCCCACAAGTCACAGTTGAACAACCACAAGATGAATTTATGAGACTTGCAGCCGAGGCAATTGTTTCCATGTCATCTCTTTGCTGCAATCAAGTGGATGATGTGGTGAGCAGTCCATCAGAAAGACCATTGGTGGATCCACTAAGTTGGTTTGCAGATGTAGCTTTCTCATGTGTAGATGATATACAGAGAAAATTAGATAAATCAAAGGGGAAAAATTGCGAGGGTAAAGGGGAATCATCCTCCAAAGAAATGGATTACTTTGAGGCCATGACATTGCAACTGGAAGAGGTCAAGGAAGAAGACTACATGCCCAAGCCTCTTGTTCCAGAAAACTTGTTAGTAGAAGAAGCTGGAACAAGTCCCTTACCTACTCGGGCACGAAAGGGGCCAGCAAGGAGAGGGAGGCAGCGGAGGGATTTCCAAAGGGACATTCTTCCAGGCCTTACATCTTTATCAAGGCATGAAGTAACAGAAGACCTTCAGACATTTGGTGGGCTTATGAAAGCAACAGGTCATGCATGGCATTCAGGATCAACTAGAAGAAGTTCTTCTAGGAACGGGTGTGGCAGGGGAAGGCGGAGGTCACAGGTTCTGCCATCTCCCTCTCCACCAGTGGTAACCATTGAAACATGTACCCCACTGATTCAGCAGCTTAACAACGTTGAAGTGGGATTGGACGATAGAAGCCTAACAGGTTGGGGCAAGACAACCAGAAGGCCCCGTAGACAGAGGTGCCCGGCAGGTAATCCTCCATCGATTCGATTAACCTAATCATTGTAAGAGGCTTACATTTATAGATGAGAATTTATAGAGGGTAAGGAGGGCCATTTTCTATATTGATGGGACATGTGATGTCTAAAACAGCGGGGATTTTTTTTTGTACATTTCTTCAAACCCCTATTTGGATATATGCTTGATTTTGAGTTAGTCTTTGGATGATACCAACTTGTATTATTCTTGAATAATGTTGCATGATTTATTCTTGGTTATCTCTTAGAGAATTGTTTTAGATATGTGCCAGTTTGTTCACTGTTGATTTTTAAAGTGAATTTTTCTATTTCACTGCTTACTAGGATGAATTTGTTAGCTTAAACAATACCATGGTGGTAGCTTTCTTCCCTTGGTTCTGTATGGTAAAATGAATAGGATGCCTTTACTATCCGTATGCTGATTTTAGTGTATTTAGAAGATACATGGATGACTAAAATAAATTATTTAGATGAGAGAGAATGACTAAGTTGAGAGATGGAGACAAAGTTGTTATCAAAGGTACGCTGATGAAAGTAAATGAATTGAAAGAAGTTGAAAACCAGGTTTTGATATTTTAGTTGTGGTAATGGGTTACGGAGTTAAAAAAACTGAAGGAAAAACGGAAGGATTGCTAGTATTGAACTCGTAATCGGCTACGGTATTTTGCATAACCGGTAACGTAAGCATCTTTTTATTTTTATTTTAGTTTCAGCTTATTTTGTTAAGCTGTGTTGTTATTTTCAATCATTTTGTATTTGTTGTATATAAGATCTTGTACACACTTATTTGTGGCTAATGTCAATTATTCTTCTCACCTTTAATTACTCTCTCTCTATATTTTCTCTCTTTCAATTTTTAACTTCATCTTCTTCAAATTAACTCAACTCTTCGTTAATTCACCATTAGAGATTATATATGTTCTAACATTTGGCATTAAGAGCGCTAATTCTGATCCATTTTCGCTGCAACAATGAGTATTATTTTCAATGATAGAATTTTCACCAACCTTTCGATTCTTGATTCGAAGAATTATGACAAGTGGTCCTAGCAAATGAAAGTTTTGTTTGGGTATCAAGAAGTTCTTGAGATCATTAACAATGGAGTTACACCATTTAGGGTTGAAGCTACAGATGCTTAAAAGGTTGTATTTAAGGAAGAAAAGAAGAAAGATTATATAACACTTTTCTTGATTTATTCTTGCGTCGATGGTGATAACTTTGAGAAAGTTGGTGATTGCGAGTCGGCGAAGCAAACTTGGAAGATCTTGGAGAAAACTTATGAAGGGACTGTTAAAGCTAAGGTGGTGAGGTTACAAACTCACAAGAGACAATTCAAGTTAACGCAAATGGAAGAGAAGGAGACGATCAACGATTATTTGACGCGTATTACGCGTTCGGTGAATCAAATCAAGTCTTGCGGAGAAACTGTTTTAGTGTAGAATGTTGTGTCGAAGATTTTGTGTTCTTTAATGTCAAGATTCAACAACATTGTAGTGGCTATTGTAGAGACGAAGGACTTTGCGACGTTGATCAAAGATGAGCTTCAAAGCTCTCTTGAGGCTCATGAGCAAAGGATGGACGAGAGAGGAAGCGATAAAGTTAAAACGGAGACTCCTTTGCAAGCACGACTTAACAAGAAGAGCAGAAGATCGAAAGAAAAATGGGCTTAGAAAGGGAAGCAAAATTCTCAGAATTTGAGTGAAAATGATCCACAAAATTCGAAGGTTTCGATGGTGCAAAAGGGTGAGAGTAGTTCCAAAGATAGTGATCAAGGCAACAACTTCAAGAAGTTTGACAAGAGTAGATCGAAGTGTTACAATTGTCATAGACTTGGTCATTTCGCAAGAGATTGTCGCGTGAAACCAAGGGAGAATCAAAGCGATGAAGCTAAGGTTGTGAGGTAAGAGGTAGATGATAAAAATACGATCTTGGTTATGACCATGGAGGAGAATTATGGCGTTAAAGAGGTGTTGGATATCAGTAGTAGCAGCGGTAAGTTGCGGGGCAACATTTGCAATAGTTCAAAAAATGTTGCAGAAACGCGTTCAGAGCAAAACACAATGATTACGGTTTGAGATGGAATCCAAGGCAGGAATGAGTGGTACTTGGATTCCGGTTATTCAACTCATGACAGGTAGAAAGGATTGGTTTGTGCAAATCAATCAAGCTGCGAAAAGTATAGTAAAATTCGTGGATGATACCACTCTTGCGGTCGAAGGTGTCGATGATGTTTTGATCAAGAAAAAAAATGATGAATATTTTATGATCAAGGATGTTTTGTATATTTTGAGAATTAAGTGTAATATCTTGAGTATTGGTCAATTGATTGAGAGGAGTTACAAGATTCGCTTGGAAGACAAGATATTGCGCGTTGTGGATACAAAATGTCTTTTGATCCTCAAGGCTCCTATGACTGCCAATAGGACTTTCAAAGTGGAGCTGAAAGTGATGGAGCATAGGTGTTTAGCTACAACGGCAAGTTGAGAAGAGTGGTTATGACACTACCTTTTTGGACATCTCAATTTTCGTGATCTTGACGCGTTACAAAGGGATGGTATGGTAACCGGGTTAGCAAGAATCAACATTTCAGCTGAGATATGTGAAAAGTGTGTGCAAGGAAAGATGCACAAGAGTAACTTCAGCAAGGATGCGGGTCATAGGACCAAACATCACCCTGAGGTGGTGTATTTTGATGTGGGCGGTTCAATACAAGTCAATTCGTATGGTGGCAATAGATATTTTGTCACATTTATCGATGATTTTAGTAGGTAACTATGGATATACCTTATTAAGAGGATGGGTGAGGTATTTGATGTGTTCAAACGATTCAAGTCCATGGTTGAGCGGCAACGTGGTCACAAGTTTAAAATTCTCAAAACGGATGGTGGAGGTGAGTATACCTCGAATGAGTTTGGGAAGTATTGTGATGAAGATGGGATAACGCGTGAGATTGTGCCGCCCTATATGCCACAACAGAATAGTATTGCCGAGAAGAAAAATTGTTCGATAATGAACATGGTTCAAAGAACGATAAAGGGTAAAGACTTGCCGAAGGAACTATGAGATGAAGTCAATTGGTGTGCGATGAGTCTATAAAGTGAAGGCAAATCCCAAAGGTGAGGTGATCGAGCATAAGGCTCGATTGGTAGCAAAGAGATTTTTGCAACGTGAATGTATAGTATAACACCCTTTTCAACCCCATGAATATTATGACAAAATAATAGAATTTATCAGAGTAAAATTTTAAACACCATAAAAATCACCTCAAAGGGCGTACATTTCTCAATAAATTCAAATCAAGGTCAATGCTCCGTAAGCAACAAGTTTTTTCAAAATTACTCAAAAGTGCTCAAATGGCAGCGGAACTCAAAAAGGCAAAAATTCAAAGTTTTTCTTTTACCTCAAGGAAATCAACATAACAAAAACTCAATAAAATAGTTTGACTCAAGGACCCCAACCCGATGTTACACTATCAGAGCAAGACCTTCTAAGTCAACCACAATGGCCAACGACCCCAAAACTTCAAAAGTCCTCGACGACATCCACGACTAAACCTGGTTATCTGCATGTTATCCATGTGGAGGCAACATTCAAACAGGCAGGGTGAGTAAAATGATTCATAATAATCAATATAGGAATTAATATATAAAACGTTATTTTCATATTCAACATCATCCTAATCATCAAGGAACATCAAAGGTCACAACATTATAAATTACACCAAATTGTCACATAAATGCAAATGCAACAAGACTCATGCATGTGGTACCAATCATCACAGCTTGATAACACGAAATTGTACCTTATAATTGCCGTATTTTCCATTGATTGGTATGATTTCAACACGTATTCCGATTATTCCGCAAGTTTGCTAAGTGTTTTCGCAAGTATTTCATTCTCATGCTAAAAATGAGCAAGACATAAAAAAACGCGAAAGAAAGGAACAAAAGAGGAGGAAAAAGCCAAAAAAAAAGCCAGAATGTAGATTTTGGAGGTGTGACGGTCGTCACAGACCACCACGACCGTCACAACATGGTCACGACCGTCACAACATGGTCACGACCGTCACAACACCACTACGACCGTCACGGTCCTATTATTAGTAATAACGTTAACAACAGAAACATGGCCACGAAGGGGAGAGAATTTAGGCATGATCCAGTATGCCCTCCCCGAGAATTCTCTTCCTCAACTCATTTTTCTCCGACATTTCTTCATGCAACCTCGGATATAAAAGGAGGGCAGTTGGACCTGAAACGAGAGCTTCATTTTACGTACCAAATTGCTGCCAAAAATTCTGTTGAAGCCATTTTTCCATTTTTATTGTATTCCTTTCCTTTTCCCTTTAGTTCAGAGTATTGTATTTCATTCTGCACTTTTATTTCGCCATAGTAGAATCCTGCCGACATTGTGGAGGACTACTCGAGAATTTAATATCAGTACTACTTGCTGTCGCTTGCGCGAAAATAAGGTGCCGGCATGACAGAAGAGTCGCCACCTTTCGTTATTTATCCCTCAGAGCGGGAAAGGAAACGATCGGAAAAACCTGAAGAATAAGGGTAAGACAAGGTCATCGCAACCATTGTCTGGGTTCGGGAGTCGGTTACGCAAGGGGAAGGTATTAGCACCCCTCACGTCCGTCGTACTCGACGGGATCCTCGCTTGTTTGTTTACTTGGACGGGTTGGTTATAATCTATCTACCTATCAAGGCTGGCTGAAAAAGAAAAGAAAAATGACTCGGCAAAGCGTCGCACTTTATGCCTACGTATTCCCGTATGGAACGAGAAATCAGAGTCAACGTAGTTCGCCTACGAAGGGTTGTGGGGGAAGGTAGCTCGCCAAGACTTCGCCATCTTGTGCCTACGTACTCTCAACAGGCATGAGAGATCAGAGCTCACGTAATTCGGGAAACTACGGTTTATTTCCTGTCTTTTACGAAAGAAGTGTTTTTTATTGTGTTTGCGATTTCAACCGCACTAGAGACTATGACCTGAGAGTGAATGCGTCGCATGTCACCCAAA